CAATTTGCCAAATTTTACTCCCTCCAAAGTTTCTTGCTATACGGTACAATGACAGTATCTCATTGCTGCTGTCTCTTTAGCTCCTAAGCCAGAGTATGTGTTCAACTCTGCTCACTGTGGATCAATGTCAACAGTACAAAGGTCACCTTTCTTTCGTGATGTCATACTAACTGTTGGTGGATGGAACTTTGCAATATGGAAGGAAGAGGAAAAGGTATTGTTAATACAAATACTGTATAGTGGGTAATTTTGGAGTGAAAAAATTTCGGGTTAAAATTGCTAAAATTTTGGTGATTGTTGAGTTTTAATATGACAAATTTGTGGCCATATGCCATTGATCATGCATATAATGGTACAAAATGACAGGTTTTAATTTAGCACAATTGCTTTCAAGATGCCAAATTCACCAAAATTAATCCCCTCTAAAATGACCCTGTATACAGTATATGATGTGACTGTATCATGATATGTAGAGTGATGCTTTACTGAGGTCTGGTAATTCTCCTGTTATATTGACTGGAGGGGCGTGGTCACCTACTCGTCCAGGCTAGTCATGTGACTCTCATGTGATGTTGTTTATGTTGTTTGTTTATATTATTAGGTGTTTTCTTTATATGTAAGCATAATGGTAATATTGATATATGGGACCTAATGGACAGGTAATATCTTCTTCCTATAATATCAACAAATTAGCATAATACATATACATGTACATGTACATGTACATGTACATACTAATAGGTATGTATCAAAAAGTATAACTGCTGCTTAGTAAAAATACTCTTACATCAGTACTGCATGTTTCTAATTTAAATGTACATATGTTTTGTTATTATAATTGTCATTTGTAGGTCTCATGTTCCTTCACTGGCTCAAAACATTTCCTCTCTACCTCTCAGTTATATTGTACCATGGCCACTATCAAGTATGATGATACCTTTACTATAATCTTTGATACTACATGTACATCAATTATTTGTTGCTTTCTTTTTTCCTCCCTCTCCCTCTCTTCTATAGATAGACAGTTAATGTTAGCAGCAGGTGATAGTGCTGGTACATTACACATATTAGAAATACCATGGAGTCTAAGTCATGCATCAAGCAATGAAGTATGTATTACACTCTAATGTGCTTTTGTGCCTATACAGTAGTCTCGCGTAGCCAGACTTCTCCCCTTTTTGACGTTGGGGAGGGGGGCTACCTACATGTATACAGTACATATACATGTAGATGTACATGTATATGTAGTAATAAGCTAAAAAGTTACTGGTTGTATTTGGGTTGTTTTTCTGTAATCCATGCATGCATGTAGCCATGTACCATAAAAATAGTTTACTGTCTTGAAAATTTGTTCTAATTCTTACAGTGCATTGTACATGTACAGTACATGTATGTGTACTAATGCTATAATTTTCCTTTCTTCCTTTCATTAGTTACTAATAATGGAGTCATTCTTTGATCGAGAGGTTAAGAGGTTGGATTTTGTTAGTGAGAGAAACAGAATGAGAGAAATAGAAAAGAAAGCACTTGATGAGAAGAAAGCTACAGCTCATGATGATGAAGAAGTAAGTACATTTAAATACACGTACATGTACATGTACATGTAATTGATACACAAAACATGCATTTTGATGCTTTGGATACAATTGATAATTTAATAATTTTTTGTATTACAGGAAAAAAAGACTGAAATTCTAAAAGATGATGAAGAAAAATATGAACTGGTGAGTGATTGGATTATGCATTAAAAACTTTGATTATTTGTTTGTAGGAGTATAGAGATTATCTAAAGTTGGAACAATCATTATTGATTGAACTAGAACTGAGACAACCAGCAGATGAAAACTGAGAAAGTGTGTGTGTGTGTGTGTGTGTTACAGTGTTAGGAGTTTGAGGAAATATGTCTAGACACTTTTTACTATGCATATGATTTCCTGTCATTTTATTTGCAAATGCAAACGAAAAAAAAAATCAATCACTGGCACCATCATGACACAACATTTCCACCATAGAATGATGCCATAGCAGGGATAGTGTGCTATGGCAAAAATATCTCTAGTGTCACACTAGGGATATTTTCGCCATAGCAGACTATCCCTGCTATGGCATCATTTTATGGCGGACTGTGCATGCCACAGATAAATTCTAAGCATGCATACATAGATTCAATGTGCAATTAATACATTAGTCCCGCCCCTCTTGCTGCCATGTCTGACTCTGATGGTAATGGAGAGGAGGAACAAGTAGAAGAGCGGGAAATTGAGGAGAAATTGGAAGATGGTAATAGTGATTCATCATGATAAAGAACTGAATATATTCCACTATATAGGAGAGCCTAATGGTAGATCTAATGAGGGAGTAGAGGAAGAGGGGGAGAAGGAGAAACAAGAGGCGGAACAAGCCGAAAAGGAAACTGAGGAGGAAAGGGAAGATGGTAATAACGGTGATTCATCCAGTGATTCTGATAATGAAGTGAATCTATTCCACTATATAGGAGATTTTTATGATGAAGAGTGGGAGCAAGAGAGGGAACAAGCAGAAGCAGAAGCTCGAGCAGAAGCGGAAGGTGAGGAGGAAGGGGAAGATGGTAATAGTGATTCATCCAGTGATTCTGATAATGAAGTGAATCTATTCTACTTTTTAGGAGATTTTTATGATGAAGAGTGGGAGCAGGAGAGGGAGCAAGCAGAGGCAGAAGCTCGAGCAGAAGAGGAAGGGGAAGATGGTAATAGTGATTCATCCAGTGATTCTGATAATGAAGTGAATCTATTCTACTTTTTAGGAGATTTTTATGATGAAGAGTGGGAGCAGGAGAGGGAACAAGCAGAAGCAGAAGCTCAAGCAGAAGAGGAAAGTGAAGAGGAAGGGGAAGATGGTAATAGTGATTCATCCAGTGATTCTGATAATGAAGTGAATCTATTCTACTTTTTAGGAGATTTTTATGATGAAGAGTGGGAGCAGGAGAGGGAGCAAGCAGAGGCAGAAGCTCGAGCAGAAGAGGAAGGGGAAGATGGTAATAGTGATTCATCCAGTGATTCTGATAATGAAGTGAATCTATTCTACTTTTCAGGACATTTTTATGATGAAGAGTGGGAGCAGGAGAGGGAACAAGCAGAAGCAGAAGCTCGAGCAGAAGAGGAAGGTGAGGAGGAAGATGGTAATAGTGATTCATCCAGTGATTCTGATAAGACTAAAGATTCACCAGGAGGTAGCAGTGGAGGACAAGGTCAGTAATTTATGGTGGCCCAATGAGCCCCAGCTGTGGTAGCCTTGCCGATCATTAACCAACGTATGCCAGCAAGTTCGAATCAGTCACTGTCTTTGCACTGGTACAATGCACATAGTGACCACACCCCATTTATGGATGTGGTATGCACGTGAGTCGAAATGGCAAGCTGAAGATATTTTTCTGGGAAAGCTATCAGCAGGAGCAAATCTTCAGCAACAGGCAGAGATCTTTAAAAAATTAAGCGAGCAGAAGGGTAAAGGAGGACTTGAGATGCTAGCAGATGTTGCACGTCTACTGAAATTTTCGTGTACTTGTATTTACTTGTATTTTGAAAAAGGCAGGTCGTGTATGTACTTGTATTCATTGGAAAATTTTAGTGTATGTACATTTACTTATTGCTTCCCAAATTCATCTATATTTTGGTGATTTTTCGTCTACTTTTCATGTATCCTGTACTTAAATGTTGAATCATTGAAAGGCTAATGTCTTCATTACCTTTTTTGTTGCTGTTTTCATCATCTGCAAATTGCTAGAAGGACTAAAAAGACCATCAAAAATCTGTGGCTAAGCAAACTAACTGCCATTTTGACTGCTACGTGGACACACCCTTTAATTATTAATAGTTAATATAAATACATGAAAATCGTCTCCTCAGACTCTGTCTACTTATTTTTGGTTCATGTATATACTTGTATGTACTAGAAGACCTGTTTTTCGTCTAAATACTCGTCTATTGTGTATACACGTGCAATGTCTGGATGTTAGAATTAGATACTACGCTAGATATTTTTGTGGCCCAAAAATTTTGCAGATCCATCCTAAAATTTATTTTATGGCTTTAAATTTTTTGATTTTTACTTTTTGGTCACATTGAACCATATATAATCGATTTTTGTGGATTTTATTTTTGTAAGTTTTGAAAAAAACGAAATTCACAAAAAATTTTGGGCCACAAAAGATTTCCACTTTTCAACATAGTTTCTTCTAATTACTGAGAGAAAGGAGGCACCATTGTACTAATTTTATCAATATAAATTATTTAAAATCATATATATTATATAGGCGGTAGCCTATATGTAGGATTGAGGTCGATTTTTCAAGATGGCGTCCGTTTTTATGATTTTCAAACACTCATAACTCTTTTATCTTACGTTGTACAGCCTTATAAATGGCTTAAATGAGCTCTCCTTCACTGAGCGATTCTCCTGGTACCTTTAAAGTGAACTGTAATGTAGCGGGAGCATTTCTGGAAAACAGGCCCAAATTCAAATTTCTACAAAATTCTTCAGACTTTTTCTTCTTCTTCTTTCATCTTTCTTCTATACACCAGATAATCTCTTAAACTAGAGAACAGCTCAAGGTGACTTTTACATCACTCCTCTGGGCTTGGGTCAAGGACCACAAAGGTAGTTTCTAAAAGAAGCGAGGACAGAGAACAAAATGGAAGACAAAATCCAGCTGCAGCCACCGCGTGGGTTTGTGGTTTGACGCCATTTTAATTTATGCGCACGTGATTAACATGAATATAATTAACCTAACCACAGAATCATAACAGAATGTAATTTCTTGATTTAAGAAAAAAGAATGGAAACAAGTAAATAAAAAAAAAA